CCATGAATCACACTCTCTCCCCAAAACACACTACACCAGAACAGGGTTTCTCAACCTTGACATTATGTCTTTGTTGTGGGGGCCTGTCCTGTGCATTGTAGGAAGTTTAGCAGAATCCCCGGACTCTACCCACTAGATGCCAGGAGCACCCACGTGCCCTCTGCCCCACCCCCACCCCCAGTTCTAACAACCAAAAATGTCTTCAAAGATTGCCAAATGTCCCCTGCGGGAAAAATCCCCCCATCTTCGTCGAGAACTACTGTATGGAGACTCTGGTCGCTACACCCCCTCATTCCCTAACACCCCATTCTCCCCACAGGCAGCCACCTTGGCCACCACTTGCTCACCATTCAGTTGTCTTGGAGGGAACAGGTGATAGGTGCTGTAGATATCATTGGAGAACTGCAAATGGAGCTCGGGGCTGCCGGTCAGGAGCTGGGCCACCTGTTCTACCTGAAATGGTGTCTTCTCCAGGATGACAATGGCATCCTCTCCATCCCCATCCCTCAAGGCCTCATTCACCTGTGGGCAGAGGCATCATCAGCGTGCTCAGGGGCAGAGCCACAGGTGAGGCCCAGAGAGCAAAGGCAGAAGCTTCTGAAATCCCAGCACTTGGGATTTCCATCCCTGCAGTCTTCCCTCTGGGGAAGTCTAGCTAATGGCACTCATGTTTCTTCTCTTAGGGAAGGCAGGTCAACCCAAATCCTTGTGGCCGCTCTCACACTTTTTTTTTTTTTTTGAGACAGAGTTTCACTCTTTTGCCCGGGCTAGAGTGAGTGCTGTGGCTCACAGCAACCTTAAACTCCTGGGCTCAAGCAATCCTCCTGCCTCAGCCTCCCGAGTAGCTGGGACTACAGGCATGCGCCACCATGCCCAGCTAATTTTTTCTATATATTTTTAGTTGTCCAATTAATTTCTTTGTATTTTTAGTAGAGATGGGGTTTCGAACTCCTGCGCTCAAACAATCCGCCCGCCTCAGCCTCCCAGAGAGCTAGGATTACAGGCGTGAGCCACCGCACCCGGCCAGCTCTCACACTTTTCTTCCAAAAGATGCTAAGCTTCTCACCTGTCTTTTATTTTAGGCTGACAAGATTTCCATCAAATTCTCCCCATTTTAGAAGAAAAGATGAAAAAACTGAGGTCTTGAGATATCAAGTGACTTGCCCAAGATCATGTGTTCAGTGCTGAAACAGAAACTAGAATCTGAGTCTCCCAACCAACTCCTAGCTGGAAGGCTCTCACGGCTAACAACCTCAGCAGGTGCTGCACACTGAAGACAGGTGGGGCTGAGAAAACCAGACAGAACCTTGCAAAAAACAAGAGACACAGAGAGAGACATGCAGGCCTAGCCCAGGTCCCCCCAGTCTTCCCAAAGGTGAGAGTTCCTGCTCCTAGCCTGGGAAAGCTCCAGGCCTGCCCTGGTTGGGCCCCCTCACTAGTGCCTGGGATGGTCTTCGTCTCCCCTCAGCCCCTGCCAGAGGGCTGAGCACATGCTGTTAGAGCCGGCTGTGTGCACGTCTCCCCCGGAGACATTCTGCAGTCTTGAAGATCAGGGATGGTAACTCTCATCTCCACATCCCCACGCCTCGATCAGGGCCTGGCTTTCACGCGCATGTGTGGAACCGAAGTAACAATTTAACACACTGTCTCCTGTTAGGGCTGAAGTCGCGTAAAGTAGGGATCGTATCTCCTGCAGTCTCTATGTCCTTTCCAGGGACAGGGACAAGCAGAGAATCCAACAACATTTACTGGGTTCTAGCCCCTTTACGTATTCAATGAATGATGATGCATGGCTTGGAGAATTTAACACGTGGTTTGTGATCTGCAATACATTCTACGATTATTAGCAGATATTTCCAGTGAGGGAAAAATGAGATGTTTATTCCCTTAACACCAGGGGCAATCTTGTCGCCTCCTACCCCTCCCCATGCTTTCTAGCGCTGCACCCCGCCTCCCTCGAGTAATGTGACTGGCATTTTCCAGCCGAGATCCGCAGATTCGCCTTCAAGGAGATCCCCGCGTGCCCCCCGGGGTCGCCGAGTGGTACCTTCCCGTGCAGGAAAATGACTTTGTCCCGCGCAGACTCCCTCAGCACTTTTTGCACTCTAAAGCCGGAGAACGGCAGGCGGACGGGGGCAGAGGTGCCATTGCCAACGCCGGCTCCCCTCTCCTCTGGGCCGGGGGCCTCCGCCGCCTCCGCGTCCTCTTGGTGCTCGCGCTTCCTCTTGCCGGGTTTCGGCGCCGCATCCGCCATTCTGCCCGGAGGAGGAGTGCGCCTGCGCGCCAGGCCGCCGCCCCGCCCCCGGCCGCCGCGCCGCCTCCCGGCGTGCTTCGCGCGCCCGCTCCTGCCGGCTGTGCGCGCGCCTCGGGGCGCGGGGCCGCCGACCTGCAGGGGGCGCCTGTCGCCGGGTTACCGCCCGGGCCGAGGCGCTGGCCTGCCCGAGGGGACGAAAGAAGGCGGCGAGTCCCTGGGGCGGCGGGGCGAGAGGCGGGTGCGCGGCGCAGGGGTCCGCCAGCCACGCCGGCTGTGTGGGTGCTGACGCCTCGTCTGGATGCTGCCGTTTTTATCACGGGCACACCGGCGTTGACCGGTTATCGCGGAAGCAGCGTTTCTGAAACCAATCTGTGGGCCCACTTTATTCTTGGGGCGCTTGTTTTGTTACAGCGAGCACCTAAACCTTTGCCATCGTACTCCTACTTTCGTTATTTACAGAAATTTTCACTGCGATCAGTTCTTTTCATTATAGACACTTTTTGCTCAAAAGAAAGGTGGGCAAACAGAGCCAGAGATAACGTTTCCATCACCTACTACTAAGCTTCCCGACTGGAAGCTTCCACCGCCTGGGTCCAACTTGCCGGCATTTCCACCCTGCGTGCGGTGGGTGCTGCGAGTTGCAGTACGATTCACCTGTCAGGGTTTCTTTTCTTTCTTTGGCCGTATAAAGTTTTTACTTGTTATTTCTGCTTTTGTAAGTTTTTTTTGTTGCCGTCGTTTCTGGCTAGCTGGATTTTCCTTGGTGTTGACAGATCTAAATTTTGTCAAGAAGATTTGAGACTTACATCAAGTTTTAGTCAGCCATACATTATTTTTGCCAGCCTTTTATTTTTTCAGACAAATCTAATGGGTTTGGGACATTTTTTGCCATTTTCAATATTAGCAACAAGATGGAGTTTTGTCAGTTTTTTTGTCAATAACAAAGTGCACCATGAGTTAATGACAGTTTGAATTTTGGACTATTTCTACCAGAAACATGTAAGGTCTGTACAGAAATATCCCGCCGTCGTTAATATGACAACGGTTTGCTGACATCACTGTGACCTGGCAGCCAAGGAAAGAGAACTGGAATGTGCCTGTGTGAACAATGGCGCCTTCGCTGTGCCGTTCAGTGGGGTGCTAGACACCGAGTGAGCATGCGTACTGTGCAGCTGTCGCACTCACGATGACTGAGCGGAGCAACTGAGTCTGCATTAAATTTTGCATTAAGCTTGAACATTCCTCCGAGGAAACTATTCAGATGATTCAGAAGGCTTCTGGGGACAGTGCAATGAGTGCAGCACAAATAAGTGTGGCACGAACCGGGCACGGTGGCTCACGCCTGTCATCCTAGCACTCTGGGAGGCCGAGGGGGGAGGATCGCTTGAGCTCAAGAATTTGAGACCAGCCTGGGCAAGAGCAAGACCCCGTCTCTACTAAAAGTAGAAAAAATTAGCTGGGCGTGGTGGCGTGCACCTGTAGGTGGCTGAGGCGGGAGAATCGCTTGAGCCCAGGAGTTCGAGGTTGCTGTGAGCCAGGCTGATGCCACGGCACTCTAGCCCAGGCAGTAGAATGAGACTCTGTCTCAAAAAAAAAAAAAGAGTGGCACAAACACCTCCAAAATGGTGGAGAATCTTTTGAAAGTGATCCACATTCTGGAAGGCCTGCGACAAGCAGAACACCTGAGAATGCTGAATGTGTACAGGTGCAATCAGCAAAGACCAGCAACTGACAGAGCAAGCACTAGAAGCTGATCTGGGGATTCTAAAAACTACTGTGTCTGATATTTTGATGCAGGATCTTGGCATGAAACATGTCATTGCAAAATGTGTTCCGTGGCTTGTCCCACCAGAGCAGAAGGAACGCTGTGTGGCATTTGCTAATGACTTGCTTCAGACCACTACCAATGAACCAGATTTCCTCAAGAAGGTCTTTACCTGAGATGAATCGTGGGTCTATGGCTATGATCTGGAAACAAAGGCCCAGTCGTTCCAATGACAGTCGCTTGGTTGTCCACACCTGAAGAAGGGGTGGCGCAGTGGCAGCAAGATCAAGACCATGTTATGTAGAGGACACTTTGTCTGGGAATGTTTCCTTGTTGTTCTTCTCAAAAACATGCCTGTGGCCTTGCAAACAAGCCAGGGCGCCCTACCCTGCAAACAGGAGGGGCTAGAGAGTTCAGATGCAAACATCTGCTTGCCGGAGACGAAACAACAAGGAACAGGGACGTGTTGAGTCGGGACAATATGGGAAAAAAGAAATTGTGGTGGGACAGTTGCCAAACAGGCTGTTATAAATAAAGAAACTACAGCAAAAAGTTTGCTGCAGTCCTGTACCGTCTTTGTGTGTGTCTGTGTCTCTTTGTCTCTGTGTTCATTCCTCGGCCCCTAGAAACAGGCCACGGCAATGTTAACTGTGTTTTTTGATTGGGAAGGTGTTGTCCCTCAGGAGTGCTCTCCCCCAGGCCAAATAATTAATAAGGAGTACTACCTCAATGTTCTTCCTCGGTTGAGAGATGCAACGTGACAAAAACGGCCACAACTATGGGCAACTGGTGATTGGCAGCTTCATCACGACAATGTACCCACCCCATGCATCACATCTCCTGCAGCGCTTTTTGGGGAAACAGCAAATCACCCATGTGACTCAGCCCCACTACAGCCCAGATTTGGTGCCCTGCGACTTCTGGCTTTTCCTAACACTAAAATCACCTTTGAAAGGGAAGACATTTCAGACCATCGATGAGAGTCAGGAAAATATGACGAGGCAGCTGATGGCGATTCCAACAAAGGATTTTGTGAAATGTTTTGAACTATGGAAGAGACACTGGGAGAACTGTGTGAGGTCCCAAGGTGCCTACTTTGAAGGCGACTGAGATGTCATGGTTCTGTGTACACTGTTTCTTGTATCTTCTTTAATAAATGTCTCTATGTTTCATATTACACGGCTGGATACTTTCTGGATAGACCGGGTATATTAGGAGTTGGATAAAATGCTAATTGTTTTGTGATGCAGAGAGCATTATTAGGGGAGACTTAGGATCTGAAATGATTATCTTCAACAAAAAACATCTGTCACCTGTCTACAGCTTTCCTGGATCCATTTTCTCCCCTTCTGGGAATATACGATGAGAAGTCATACACTGTATTCAAGACTAGAACAAAATGTCCTGGGGGGCAAATGGCAGTAGCAAAACCTGCTTGACTCCAAGACTCTGGTCTTATGACAATTTCCTGTTTTTTTTTTTTTTTTTTTTTCCTCTTTTGCTACTGGGAAGGGAGTAGAATAGCTGTGTTTTAATGATTAGAGTCCTGATTTGAGAGCCATGAAGTCTGGCCCCAACGATAACTAGCTGTGCAACTTTGGAGAAGTCCCTTAACCTCTCTAGGCCTCTACTTCTTATGCGCCAGCACTATTAGTCTTGAAAAAGACAGAAGAGGCCTCGTTTCATAAAATTCATATTCAAATGGGGTGGGCGAGGTAAACAAGTAACATTTTAGATAATGATTAAGTGTGAGTAATGGAATAAAACCGGACAGTGTGAGAGAGCCTAGGTACAGGAACCCTCTAGATAAGGTGATCATGGACAGCCTCTCGGAAGGTGACATTTGAGCAAAGACTTGAATGGTAAGAAGGACGCAGCCATGTAAAGAGCTAGACAGAGTAAATACCAGCTGTCAAAGACCCTATAGCAGTAATGAGCTTGACATTTTTTATAAACAGGAATGGCCCACGTGGCTAGAATATAATGAGCAAGAGAGAGAAGTATGAAAATTGTAGAGGAATATATTCATTAGTGACAGATGCATCAATATGGGTGTCACTCTGGATATAAGGTCAGAATTCCATTCTTAACAAAAGTCTGACTCAGGGAAGGATGAGCTGATAGGAAGCCTCAGCCACCAGAGATCCTATTAAATACCAGACTGCAGAGTGCAAGGAACCTTTATGGCAACACGATTAAAACTAATTCACATTTAAAATTCAGTCCTTTGGTTACACTAGCCACATTACAAGTGCCCAATAGCCACTTGTGACTAGTGGTTACCATATTAGCACAGAGGGAGAACATTCTCATCATTACAGAAAGTTCTACTGGACAATGCTGTATTCGATTATTTATTATAAAGCCCTATTCTATAAGCATTCAATCCTTTAGTCTCCAGGAATCTCAAAATTTCTCCCAAATCTTTTCTTTTAGTCTAAAGAAGGACTAGACACTCCATTTCAGGCATTATGACAGACTAAACTGAAAACAAGTCAGCTACAAAACACCTAAACATTCCGGATGCAAATTGTAAAACATCCTTTTAGTTCCATTGCTGAGCTCTCAAGAAAATAAAATTTTCAGAAATCAAAAATGATGTGGGAGCTTGAATCTATAGAGTGGTAAGTGGATTTTGAAGCTGAAAGTTATTCTAAGGGCGACTGCTGATCTCTGGAAATCTGGCACGTGATCGAAAGCACAGGAGATGAGACCTGGGCTTCCGCAAGGAGGAGCCGGAATAGAGAACCTCCCACTGAGCTGAAGTTGCTGAAGGTGCACCCCTCAATGAAAGGTCCAACTCTTAAAAAAAAAAAAAAAAGCTACCCCAATAAAGGAGAAAAAATGATTAGGAAACCTTTCCTAATTGCCTCAACCTTTGCTCCAGAGGGAAGAAAAAAAATCTTAAGAATTCATAACCACATGTGAGTGTTCATGCAGACTTCAGATTCACAATTGCAAACATCATTCAGGAAACTCAAACTGAAAAATCTACTTAAGCTGGTCTTGCAGTCTTTTTTTTTTTTTTTCTGAGACAGGGTCTTGCTCTGTCACCCAGGCTAGAATGCGTGATTATAGCTCATGGCAGCCTTGAACTCCTGGGCTCAGGCAATCCTCCTGCCTCAGCTTCCCCAATAGTTGGGACTACAGGTGCACACCACCACATCTAGCTAACTTTTCTTGTTTCTTTGTAGAGATAGGGTCTTGCTATATTGCCCAGGCTGGCCTGGAACTCTTGGGCTCAAGTGATCCTTCTGCCTCAGCCTCCCAAAGCATTGGGATTATAGGCATGAGCTACCACACCTGGCTGTGATCTTGTAGTCTTTACTGATTGTTTACTTTATACCAAATTGACTGCAGAAGAAATGGAAAATCTGACTAGATCTATAATTCTTTAAGACATTGAAACTGTAGTTTTAAATTTTACAGTAAAGAGAATGCTAGGCTCAAGTGATTTTACAGATGAATCTACCAAATAGTCAAGGAACAATTAATTCCAAGCTTGAATTCTTCAAAGAATAGGAAAAAAAGGACCACTCCCCAACTGTTCTATAAAGCTGGTATAACTTTGGTAACACAACAAGAAAGTGATAATACAAGAATGGACAATTAAGGGCCAATCCTATGTATGAACATAAATGTCAAAATCCTAAAGAAAGTGTTCACAAACTGGAAACCTGTGACTTATAAAAAAGGTAATACATCATAGTCAAGTTGAGTTTACACCAGGAATGTAAAACTGTCTTAATGTTAGAAAATGTAATGTTATTCACCACATTAACAGTTTAAAGGGGAAAAAAACACATCATTTCAGTAGATGACGTGGAAAATTTAAATTTAAAACCCATTCAAGATAAGAAACTCTTAGCCAACTAGAAACAGCAGGAAACTTCTAACCTGTCAAAATTAATGTACCAAAACACCTGCAACAAACACACTTAATGGTGAAATGTTTGACACATTCCCTTTCAAATAAGGAACGAGACAACGATGGCTGCTGCTGTCACTTCTTTCAGCATTTTACTGGAGGTCTTAGGAAGCACAGAAAGACAAGGAACTCGAGTTTTGTTTTGCAAATGGTATGACTGTTTATAGAAAATCCAACAGAATCTATAGTCTTACAGAATAAATGAGTATGTTGTTTAATATTAAATCAATATGGAAATAAATTACAATCCTTCATACTAGTGATAGATAAAAAATAAATAATTTAAAAATACCTTTCAGGCTGGGCACGGTGGCTCATGCCTATAATCCTAGCACTTTGGGAGGCCGAGGCGGGAAGATTGCTTGAGGCCAGGAGTTCAAGACCAACCTGAGGAACAGCAAGACCCTGTCTCTACAAAAAATAGAAAAAAATTAGGTGGGTGTGGTGGCACCTGCCTGTAGTCCCAGCTTCTCGGGAGGCTGAGGCAGGAGGATCGCTTGAGCCTAGGAGTGAGGTTGCTGTGAGCTAGGCTGACGCCACAATAGCCCGGGCGACAGAGCGAGACCCTATCTCAAAAACAAAAAACAAAAAACTTTTACTGCAGCAACAGGAAAGATGAAATGCAAAGGAATGAATCTAGTAAAAGATGAGAATGACCAATGTGGAAAATATATAAAGCTTTATTGAAATACATTTAAAGATACAAACAAATGAAGACATACTATTTTTATGAATAGGAAGACTATCATAAAAACATGTTTTCCAACTAAATCTATAAATTCAACCTACGGCCAATAAAAACACAGGCTTTTCCCCGGAACCGAACAAACTGAACAATTTATATGGGAAAGTACGGTAATGAGAAGTTGAGGTGATTTGGGTCAGTAAGGAGGGTGGGAAGAACCGACCTACGAGCTGTGATGGCTAAAACAGCAGTGGGGAAGCCAGTGTGGCACCAACACAGGGACACGCAGACAGACAAAGGGAGAAGAATGAGGAACCCAGTAGAAGCCCCCAATGTGGCAGTAAGTGACAGCAATGACATCGCATCAGTGGGGAAGGATACACTAGTCAGCAAATGACAGTTACTCAAATGGAAAAAACATTGGGTCTCTGACATAAAAACTAAGAATAAGACCAAGCCCAAATAAAAAGTCCAGGTAATTAAAGACTTAAATATGAAAAGAAATGCTTTGAGAAGAAAATATAGGAATAGAGAAAGGACTTCCTGAGTAAGATACAAAAAGCACAGACACAAAGTGATAGGTAAAATATTTTATATTAAAATGAAAAACTGGCCAGACATGGTGGCTCATGCTTGTAATCCTAGCACTTTGGGAGGCCAAGGTGGGAGGATCGCTTGAGGTCCAGAGTTCAAGAGCAGCCTGAGCAACATAGCAAGACCCCATCTATAAAAAAATAAAATAATTATCCAGGCATGGTGGCACATGCCTGTAGTTACAGCTACTCAGGAGGCTGAAGCAGGTGGATGGCTTGAGCCCAAGAATTTGAGGCTATAGTGAGCAATGATGATGCCACTGCACTCTAGCCTGGGCAACAGAGTGAGACCCTATCTCAAAAAAAAAACTTCTTTAAAAGATAACATTTTCAGCTGGGCATGGGGGCTCATGCCTGTAATCCTAGCACTCTGGGAAGCTCGCCTGAGTTCAGGAGATCCAGACCAGCCTGAGCAAGAGCGAGACTCCGTCTCTACCAAAAAGAAAGGAAAAAAAAACCCCAGCTGGGTGCTGCGGGGCATGCCTGCAGTCCCAGCTAGCCAGGAGGCTGAGGCAGCAGGATCGCTTGAGCCCAGGAGTTGGAGGTGGCAGTGAGCTATGATGCCACTACACTCTACCCAGGGTGACAGAGTGAGACTCTCTCAACAAAAACAAACAAGGCAACTAAACACCCCTCCTCACAGTCCCCCACCCCTTCGAAAAAAAAGAAAAAGATAACATTGTCATACTTTTTAGAAACTTCTACTAATTTAGAATTGCATACTTAAATAGGAATAAAATAATGCCTGGGATTTGCTTCAAAATGATCTAGGAGTGAGGGCATGGGTAGAGTTATTGTTGATAAAAGATTAGCTATGAGTTGGTAATTCTTGAAGCTGGGTAATGGGTGTACCAGAGACCTATCAAACTTTTTCCTATTGGAACATGAATACACACACACACACACACACACACACACACACACACAACACACAGTTTTTCATAAAATGATGAAAAAATATGACCATAAGATAGCAGTTTCACCCACTCGGTTAGTGGACATTTTAAAATCTCGTAATTCTAAAGTGGGAACTCTTAAACACAAATGGCAGGAACATAAATTGACACAAATTGACTTGGAGGAAACTCTGGCATCTTCTAGTAAAACTGAAGATGTATGTTCTTTACTACCCAGCTGCTCCCCACCTAGACTAAATATTGGAAAGTTCTGCTCATGGAAACATGCACCACAATGGTGATAGGCACACTGCTTTTAATAACAAAAAACTAGAAACAACCAAAGTGCCGTTGGTGGAAGGATGTGACTGACTAGCAGCACATTTACACAGTGGAGTGAAAGTAGATTAACCGGCGTGTCAGGCACCGGCCTGGACAAAGCTCACAGACACGGGGAGCAAAGACAGGAGCCCGCAGAGCACAAACGTTACGGTGCGGTTCATACAAAGCAACACCGGCCACACGGAACAGCGTGCTGGGAGGGCGCACACATCCGCAGTAAATGTAGAGAGGGGCCAAGAGCGGTAAGTTCAAAATTCAGAACAGTGCCTATTTCTGGTCGGGCGAGTGAGGGGCCTGCAGTTCGGGGCACAAAGGGAGCACCACAGGGATAAGGTTTTGCTTCTTAATCTCGTGTGGGCACATGAGTGCACGCTATATTATTCTTTAGTCCTTTTGTCTGTAACAAAATAACTCATAACTTAAAAAATAATTTTTTTCAGTGAAAGAGGACACGATGGGGGAACCGAGAGAAGAGGCATAAAAATACACCTTGGGGGAGGTAGTGAAATTCATTCCAGTCCAACAGAAAACTGACTGAGAACAGATGAACCGGGCCTTGCCTGTCCTGCGAGGGACACAGCCACCTGCCAAAGGGAGATGCCAACCCCTGCCCACGGCCGCCGGCTAAAGGTGAGACCCGGCTCTGGCCGGACCCTGGTGACGCCCCAGCTGTGACAGCCTCACTGGGCTCTGGGTCCCCTGAGAAGGGGCTGAGCCCTGTGCCCTGGCTTCCCTCCTCTTTGCCCCGCCTGCTCCCTCCCCGTCCTTGCATACACAGAGTGGCTTCTAGGTTGTGTCTTAGCGACGCTTACCCAATGAATAAAACGCCGCGCAGTGCCGCCTGCATCTTTCCCACGGCGATGTAGTGTAGTGAATGGATGCCTCGGGAGAGGGAACAGCAGCCTCCGGAGAGGGAACAGCAGCCGTGTGAGTGCGAAGGACTTGACACCTGTTGCTTCCTCTCGACGCCTGTTTGGGGCTTCCCCAGGGGACCAAGAAAACCATCCGTGTTGAGGCCTACAGTCTGGGTTGCTCATTCATCAGTCAGGTGAGTCGCCTAGGTAGAAGGGACACCCGTCTACACCAGTGCCCAACTCCAGGGCAAGAAAACGTAGGTGCGTGCCAGTCTTCCTGTCCAGTTAGGCGGGAGGCAGAACGCTGCTGACCATCCTGGTATCCACACTACCTCCAACTTCTGGCTTCCTCTTGGGCTTCCTGGGGAGTCCCCAGCGTTTTCATGGCCTTCCTGGGGAGTCCCCAGCTTCTTCATGGCTTTCTTGGGGGAGTCCCTGACCTCCCACAGCCTTCCTGGGGAGCTCGCAGTAAGGGGAGCCTGACGGGCAAGTGCAGACTCTGGCTCCTTACACCTGCCGCGTCTGCTGGAACCCGAGGCCCTGCGTGGGCCCTCTATTTCCAGCTTTCCTCCAACTCTCTGGGTCCCATGATGACGTAAGAAGTGTCAACTGAGTGTCCGCAGATCTGAAAGAGCCCAAACAGAATCACAGGGCTGCCACCCTCCCCAAACCCAGCATCCGTTTGCCCCCAACAGGTCCTGTCTCTGCTACCTTTTTACCTGTTACCTTACTTCCAAACCCACTGTAACATAAAGCCCCTCCCCAGACGTGCCTACCACACGCAATTCTTTCCTAGTATTTCACACCATTTTTCCTCACTAAACCTATGTCCCTCCTGGCACCTTCCCAGCTCTTGGTGGACATCTCCAACCTGATCTCAGTGAGAAAAACCTAATGCTATTACTGCTACTGCTACTACTAGCTAGCAATTATCACTGAGGACTTGATGTGCAGCTCGGCCCTGCCTGGTACGAATACTTACCGTGTGCCAGGCCGTGTTCTGAGCACTTATCTAGTGTATGCGCTATTTTCACTGCACAGTAATGGAAGCGGATGGGCAGGGAGGAAACCGAAGCACAGAGGGGTGCAGTGACTGCCGGGTGACTGCTCACACCCTAATGAGTGAAGGAGTCGGGATGCAAATGCGCCAGTCTTTCTCAGAGTCTGCGCTGTCAACTAGCCTGCTGGCTGCGGGCTGTCTCCTACAGCTGGCGTGGGGCAGAAGCTACGGCTGAATCCCCTTCCTCTTCTCCCTCCCTCCCATAGCTTACAACGCACGACAGCTTCCTTGAGTTGGTGAAAGCCACCGTCGGGGCCCCTGCCATCCACGTAGTACATGAATCGGAGCTCAGGGGGGTAGGCGGCCCTGCTCAGGCCCGACAGCAGGGGGATGGTGCGGCCCTCCGCCCCAGGGGCCTCGGTCAGCGCCTGTAGCATCTGGTACTTGCACCAGGGGTCCCGAAGGAAGCCGGGCGTGATGAGCAGCACACGGCAGTGACTGCTGCTCAGTGCCTGGCACAGCTCGGATGCGATGGCACTGCCTGGTGTTGCGTCCCGAAGCTGCAGGAAGCAGCGCAGGCTGGCAGTGCTGCCCTCCAGGTAGGAGACCAGTTCCTGGGCAGCCACCAGGTCCTCCTCACTGTGGCACACGCAAACATCGTAGTCTTTGCTCCAGCGGCCACTGCTGCTGTCACCGGCAGGCGTCAGTGGCGTGCTGGGAGACGTGACCGAACTGAGGCCCAGGGGTGGGGGGCTGTCCTGGGGGGTGGGCTGCGAAGTGTCACTGCGGGAGCTTTCAGGGCAGTCAGGCATCTTCTTGGGCTTCTTCGCCAGGGCCTGTCTGAGCCAGTCTGCAGGGGAGAACACAGCGTTCAGGCCTGTGTCTTGCCTGGTGCCATCCCACTGACCCCTGGGGAGGAGCCCTGCCGTGCAGGGAGGGCCGGCAGGGCCCCACCTGCCTCCTTGCTCTGGGAAATGACACCTTCTTATTCTCAGTGACCTATCACTCTGCCATTTTCGTACATCCCCAAGGACTTGAGTAAAATTTCCCTCTATCTTTGAAGGTTTGGGGAGTACATGAGAACTCTGGGACCCTAATGTGGGAGTGTTTCTACCACCCACATTAAGAGAAGGCCCTGCCCTGCTCCAGGCCCTTTGGTATCTGGTACCCCGGCCCACCTCAAGCAGAACTTTGCACTAGAGCTGACCAGTCAGCCACCTGTGAGTCTGTACGCAGAGCTCTGCGATGCTAGTAAGGATCAATTAGTCCCAAAGCCCACTTCCAGCACTGAGGGGAGGTGAATTTAAATTGGGAAGACGTACCCACTATGGAAAGGGAAGGGTGGGAGGACTGGCAGTGGTTTGGGCCTGAGAAACCCTGGATTGTCCCTACATGAGCTACAAGAAAGTAGAGAAGAGGGGTACCGCTCAGAGCTCCCAACGAGCAGAGCTTCGGGGTTCGGAACCCGCACTTTGGAGGCAGGCACCATATTTGACTGTGGATCTGTAGCTAGCCTTCTGTATGACCTCAGACAAGTTAGTCTATGTCTCCATCTCCTCATCTGCAAAATGGGTTCATTTTAGTTGTTGTTGAAGGTTAACTGAGAAATGCAGTATCTGGGATATTGTGAGTGCTCCATAATGATGCTAAAACT